GCGCTCAAGAATAAGGGGACATAACTTTAAAATTAGTGTTTGGCTGTTTGGGAAGGAAACCAGGAAGCACTTCCTTCATACAAAGAAAGAAACCTGGAATTCGCCCCTTCTCCTGCCCCCATCTCTAAATGTCTGTGAACATGTGGAGCTTTCAAGATGACGCCAATAGATTTTTGTTGTGTAGCGATATCAAGGTGCTGAGCCGGGTAAATGGAGTTGGGAAACAGATCAGTCATAACTATGGAATAGGTGTGAGGGGGTAAATGGCTTATTCTTGTTATTTTAGTAATATAATGTAATAAGTCATGTGTTGTTATATTAAATTTGAAGTCTGTTATTTTGTTCCAAAACTTATTCAAACTGGAACTTTATAACATTTTATTTGAGTTATATTCACTTTTGCTTTCAGTGTATCAGGTCTCCTTTGTGCTCATATTTTGTTCTTGCTCTTCCTTGCTGCCAATGGCCTTGTCCTGTACCAAACAGTTTTACCTCGCTTGGTCTGGTCTTGCCTCATTCCATTTAATTCCCCTGTCACAGTCCACCTCACTCCCTATTGTCTGATCCACTCACAGTCCACCTCATGCCTCTAGTCTAGTCCCGTTACAATCCACCTCACTCTGAATGGTTTAATCCTTTTACAGTCCATTTCACTCCTGTGTGATCTGATTCTCCAGTGGCCTTGTTTGCTCTTTTTCCCACGAGGATGTCATCCCAGTAAAGTTTGAATTTTAAGTGTTTCAATTCTGACATCCTGTCAGGAATCAAGTGTTCTCAAAAGCAAATGAGCTAATTTCAAAACTGTTGGTTGTAAGTTATGCAAAATGTTCTGGATGAGCTGCATAAGTCCTTGCTAGTAATTATTTTGTAAGTCGAGCTTTTTGTTGTCAATTTTGATGCACACGCCTGTTGTATTTGCTGCAAAAAAAATCAGTATCAAAGTAATATTGTGCTGAACTAAACTTGACTGAGACATAAATGGGCTGGATATTGCGGAGTAAGATGCAAAACTGTCAGTGTTCAACATCATCGCTCCTCTGAGAGCAACTTCTGGACCATACACATGTGGAAATGCTGAAGTCACTGTTAGTAATTCTATGCTTCTGCATTGGGTATTAGTTTTGACCAAGACGGGAGTCAACGATTATTTAGGGATACGCAGGAAAGTGGAGTTGTGGCCACATGCAGGTCAACTATGAGATTATTGAAGAGTGGAGCAGGTTAATGGCTCTGAATGGCCTATCCTTGCTCCTAACTTATATGTGTAAATGCTCTTGAAAAGAGCCTCTGGGTTCCTGCATCCCAGGGAAGTCCCGACTGCTGTCCAGTTACATGTCTGAGTGCCCTCAATACAGATGATGCACCCTGAAAGAGGGGTTGAGGGGCTATCACTGGCTGTCCACCAGTGGGCAAAATCCCTGTTATCTCCGTTAAATACATCCCCGATTGTTTCTGAGGTTCAATGTCGCTGGAGAGCTCTGCACATCTGAAAAAAAAGAAAATGCTGGAAGCATTCAGCAGGATTGACAGCACATGTGGAAAGAGAGTTGTTGTAAACCGGTGGAGTTTTATTGAAGGTATCCAAATGTCATGATGTTACTCTGGTCCTGAACCGATGGAGCAGTGAATTGAGTGTACTGTATTGAAGGAAAGACAAGGAAAGCACTATTACTTCTGGAAGCAATTTACATTTATAGAGGCAGAGAAGGGAAGAGATAAAAGGAAAAAGGTAACAGGGCAGGTTTGGGAACATGCCATGAGGCAGGATAGCATTGTTGGGATGGTTAAGGAATGGATCAGGGTGTAGTAGGGAGAATAGACCATTGACAGTTGAAATTGCTGGGTGGATGGGGGGAGATGGTGAGAGGAGACTTGTTTGATGGTGGCATTGTCCTGGAAGTGACAGAAGTATTGGAGGATGCTCACTTGAATGCTGCACCTGGAAGAAATGTAGGAACTGGAACAGACACAGTAAAGCGTCCATAAACTACAGTCAGGACCACGGAGATGGAAAGTAGGGCCTGGTTTTCTTTCCTTTTCCAAGCCTCTTCACAAGCCAACCCAAATCGTGTGCGTTATTTTTACCACTTTCAAGATTCACCTGTTAATTTTCTTTAATTAAAACATTTTATTCTTAGCACAGCCTCCATGTGTGTTTTGAATGTTTGCAATTTTTAATTGCCCATTACCGGAGGGCTGTTATGGTGTAGCGGTAGTGTCCCGTCCTCTGAGCCAGGAGGCTTGGGCTTAAATCCCACCTGCTCCAGAGATGTGTCATAACTTGCTTGAATAGTTTGATTACAAATATGTCCATCATTACCAGAGAGCACTTTGTGCCAAGCGTTAGTGTCCCTACCTCGGAGCCAAGATGCCCAGGTTCAAGTCCCATCTGCTCCAGAGGTGTAACATAACGTCTCTGAACAGGTTGATTAGAAAATATCTTCATCCATGATCGACACCATGCTAGTGTGCCTCAGTTTCAATGATAAGAAGTGAATGTGCTGAAAGAAGCTTATTTTAAGCAAGCGTATTCTGAAGAAGGGTCTAGGCCCGAAACGTCAGCGTTCCTGCTCTTCTGATGCTGCTTGGCCTGCTGTGTTCATCCAGCTCTACACCTTGTTATCTAAGAAACTACTTGGCTTGAGGTTGAAAAACAAACCTTTATTCTGAGATAATAAGGTGTAGAGCTGGATGAACACAACAGGCCAGGCAGCATCAGAGGAGCAGGAAAGCTGATGTTTTGGGTCTGGAAACCTTTATTCTGACTTCCATTGAGACCAATAAGTTTATTCACAAGCCTGGACAGTGAAACAGGGAATGAACCATTGGGTTCATCCCCCAATCTAACAAGGGCCATTGTTTACATGGAGTAAGTGAGTTTTGTGGATTACATGAGAATTCTTATTTTCCTGTGTAGGGATTTTACTGCCAATATAATGGTACGAACCAGGATCCATCATTACTGATGATCTAGATTTAGACAATAGACAGTAGGTATTCTAAGAGTCTTAGCCTTTACTTCTTCAGCAAACATGTTGATTATTACTTCAGCAGTTATGTAAATAGAACATAATAATCTAACAACAATTTAAGAAAGTTATCATTACAAAAAAATCCTAAGTCAAAGTCAATGCTATAGTTGTAATGATGTGACTGAACATACAGCTAACATGATCCCTTACTCATTTTGTTTAGTTACTTTCTGGCCCTGGAGAATTAAATTCAAGCCACATAATGAGTGTGTACTTGAATCAACAGTGACAACATATTACCAGGTCTTCACATTCTCAAAGGCCAGCACCTCTAGGAATGCAGCAGTCCCTGATACTGGAACTGAGACTTTTGGTCTGGATTTCAAGCTCAGTTTGTGACTTGTCATCTGACTACAGGAAGTCCCTATTTTTTGGTAGATTTAACAGACGGAGAATTTGTTTCTGTGAATTTCTGTTTTTTTTTGGGAGAGCCATAATTGAAGTTAGAAAACAAACCAAAAAAAAAAGACAGAAATTCACAGAAACAAATTCTCCTTTTGTTAAATCCGCCAAAAGTCTCAAAAGTAGGGACTTCCTGCATTTGTCTTCGATTTAGGATTTTCTTGTAATGATTGCATGGTGTCAATATTGGATGGGGGCAGCACGGTGGCTGAGTGGTTAGCACTGCTGCCTCACAGTGCCACGGACTAGGTTTGATCCCACCCTCGGGTGACTGTGTGGAGTTTGCTTGTTCTCACTGAGTGTGTGGATTTTTTCCAGGTGTTCTGGTTTCCTCCCAAAGTCCAAAGATGTACAAATTAGGTGGATTGGCCATCCTAAGCTGCCCATAGTGTCCAGGGATGTGCAGGTTAGGTGCATTAGCCATAGGAAGTGAGGGATTACAGGGATAAGGTAGGGACTGTGGGTCTGGGTGTGATGCTCTTCAGAGGGTCAATTTGGACTCAGTGGACCAAATGGCTTGCTTCCTCACTATAGGGATACTTTGATTCACTTGTATCATTTGGAACATTTCTTGTGGCCACCTCTGAAGATCATCCATCAATTTACAATGTTTAAAGTGAGAATTTCTCAATAAAGTCATTAGTAGACAGGTATAGCATAGGATGTCACAGGAGTTGGTATGTTCTCCCCTAGTTCTGTCTATATCTGTCCAAAGGCAGGGAGATGCCAATTTCAGAAACCTTGATTGTATGAGTCAATCAGTCTTGATGCAGTCATTTCAGATTTTCTCAGTTGAATGATCAAAATACAGTTACTTAAAACTACATTTGTTTTATATAAATAAGGAGGATTCCTCAAAATCATATGTGGGGAATATATTTGCTCAAACTGTAGCCCTGGCTTGCTGTGTCTTAACTGTAGGGGTATTGGAAAAATATCTCTGGTGAAGAAGAGGACGCTTGTAAGATGTTGCAGTTTTCCTTTCTGAGAACAAGAGAATCAGGAGAGCGACTTTGAGACCCGTACAAATCATTTAAGCCCCTTTTGTCCAACTGCACACTTTTCCAAACTGTGAAATTGTCCTCTGGAACACCGTCCACCTCTAAACACTCCCCATCGTAACCAGGTGCCTGTGGGAAACATAGTTGTAAAGCTGTCTGAAATTGATCAGCGGTCTCTTCCTGCCTGCTTTGGGTGGGAAACAAATAATGTCAAGAATTTAACGTGGTTGGGCCTCATCTGACTGTGTCAAGCTAATTTCTATTGACATTGTGTACCTAAAACCTGCTCACGAAATCTCCACACTTCTCCCCACCCCATCATGTGCTAAAAACCTCAGTGGGATGATCATGTGCAGAATAAGCTGTTTGAATTACTGCAAGATTTCACAATAAATCCTGCAAATGTTTGTACTTGGCACAAAATATTACCTGAGTGTGGAGTTTTACGTAAACCCCTTGAGGTAATGAAAATACCGCTTTGTAAGTGGATCTCATTAATATAAGATTCTTCACCTTATTTACTATTTTACTGTAAACTAATTTATTTACTCTTCTTAATTCCTAGTGATTTGCTGTCCTCCCAGTATGTGGAGCACACTGTTGGTGCAAGGGGAAACTTTGTTCAGTCTAGGGTAAGTCTGACATTAATTGTTTTCGTTGTGGTAAGCTTCAAAATGTCACAGCTTTGTGAAATTTGTACAGGTGGTTCCCCTATAACACAATAATTGCATTCTTGTGTGACCTTGCAATATATAAAATCTCATTATCGAAAATCGACGTAGAAAATAGTGTTATAGGAAAATCGCTATAGAAAATTGTCAGATCGTGCAGGAGGAAGTTTGCACTAACCAAACAGCATTCACCATTCACCAATCACTTTACAGCCAGTTTGTGTTAACGAAACACGTGTTAGAGCAGAAATACCTGTACTAGACTTTTCAAACAGAGAATTTGATCTGATTTTCAAATGTTTTTGAGAATATTCACAGACTATCTCTGCACCAGAAGCATCCATTGACTAAAGTGAAGCAACGTTGAGCAGATTCAGCAGCGACCAGTTATACCTGTTGTTTTCAGGTGGTTTTAAATCCAATATTATTCTCAAGGACGCACATTCACATATATGTTCTATGAAGACATGGTATATATAAATGCATGATAATGCAGTTTTAAGCTGCAGCTCATTTAGATGTACATTAACATATTTTACAAAGCCATTGTACATTTAAGTGCAATTCATACATTTATTTTAAGAAAGTAAAATGTACTTAGACATTTTATAAAGTCAGTGGTCTTCTGATTGCACAATGCTATCGCAGCGTTGATATATTCACTCTCTAGGTATGACACTGGAAATAATGTGGGCACCTTGTTTAATCTTGGCTTGTGGTGTCGTTTAGGACTGTGTTCAGGTAGGACACATTTGTCAGGGCCATTGCCTTTTATACAAAAGCAGAAATTGCTGGAGAAACTCAGCACATCTGGCAGCATCTGAGGAGAGCAAGCAGATTAGCCTTTTTATTAACTGAAGTTCAAAAGAATTGTTACTGAACCCAAAATGTTGACTCTGCTTTCTGTCCACAGATGTTGTCAGACCTGCTGAGTTTCTCCAGTAATTTCTGTTTTTGTTTCAGCACCTGCAGTTATTTGTTTTAATCCATTTGCCTTTCTTGTTTACCGACAATGCTACGTTGTTTTCTTCAGAGAAGAGAAGATTGAGAAGACATTTGATAGAGCTGCTTAAATTGTACAGAGAAATTGTTCCCATAGGCAGAAAGGTCAAAAAGCAATGGACACCGTTCTAAAGTGATGAGCAAAAGAGCCAAAGACGATGAAGTAAACCCTTGTTTTATGCAATGAATGGTTACCATCTGGAATGCACTGTCTGAAACAGTGCTGCAAACACATTTAGTTGTGGACCGAGGGAAAAATGCCCATAATCAATATATATATAATATATATAGTCCATGGACTCCACAGTCCTGCAAAATAAATAATGCTGCATCTTTTATGTTGAAATGAGTGATCGATAACTGGTAAGCATCATTAAAGAAGTTGCAAATTCCCCATGTCTGTGTACAACATAAACTGTGACGACATTTGTCAAGTGAAATTTAACAAATCAAAATAAAATTTGGTCCTGGGATGTGGTTAATGAAGCTCTCTCCTCCTTTAGGAGTCCACTGAGTTTGGAATGCCTTAATGTAGCAGCGGACACTGCATGCTCTATTTCCAGGGACAGCTGAGCATGAATGTCGCCACAGGAGCGAGGCAGGCATTCTATCTGAGACTGTGCACTGCCTGGACCTCTAATTGACCACCCTGCCAGGCCTAGGAGCTGCTGTAGGAGGAGGTCCTTCAATTCGACCACTCCCGTCTGCATCTGGTAGCCAGATATCAGGTCCATCAGATTAAAGGGTGACTAGGAATTGAGGAGTAGCCCCTTTGAGCCATGGTGGAACGGCTTGTGTACTTCAACTAGACATGAAATACTGACACATCCAGGCTGTAGAATTTGCAGGCAAGCTTGGAGTCTGCGAATCTGACAATTGGACTGTACTCTGAAAACCTCTTTACCTCAAATTCTCAATAGAAATTGGGAGAACTTCCACTTAGTGACGCCTGAGGTGGGGTTCTCTGCCTCCTCTGGATGGTGATACCATGCCAGAGTATTTCTGGTTGGCGGCCAAGGCTGAGGAAGTGGAGAATGTGCAATAACAGCCCACATGGATGGAATGAATGGCTCTCCATGATCTTGTCCACTGCCTTCATAGGTAAAGAGTTTTGAGCCATTATGGTGCACATGATCTGCATGCAACTTCTTCATCCTCTGCCCATGACCCCCTCCCCCTCCATCCACTGCCTCAGGGAACTTCTTGAATTAATTATTGGGAAATCTAAACCTATTGTCTTTGATTCTTGCTTCAAACACCATTGTGTTGCTGCAGACTGTACTCCTTTCCCTGGCAACCATGTGAAACAGAACTGTTTCGAAACTTAGTGTCATGTTTAATACATGATGAACTTGTGACCTCATATTCATGCCATCACTGAAATTGTCTATATTTCCACCTCTGCACCATCATCTGATCCAGCTACTGCTGACACCTGATAACATGCATTGATATGCTCACACTTGACTTTTCTGACAATGTCAGCCTTCCACATTCTACCTGCTGTAAACCTTAGGACATGCAAAACTCTGCTTTCCCGCTAGCATCAAGTTACATTTGCTTATCACCCATGTGCTGTCTAAACGAGATTACTTCCTGATTAAGTCACACCTTTATTTTAAAGTGGTTGTTTTCAAATCATTCCATGGCCTTTAATTTGACATTTGCAATTTGTGTTTGAGCTTACAATTCAAAGCTTCTTTCTTGAGAAACCTGGTCTCTGGAGTCTCCTGCAGCCCCACACCTGATGAGAACTCCTGAAATGAGATAGAGAGGTTGTAATTCTGGCCCCATGAGCACCTCTCATTTCCATTGCTCACCATCAGTGACCTCTCTTTAGCCCCCAAGGCCTGAAGCTCTAGATTTGCCTCTCTGCCTCATTACCTCTCCTGTCATCTTTAAAATGCTCCTCAAAACCTGCCTCTTCTAAAAGAAAGGTACTGATTATCTGCTTTAATATTATCTGATGCAATGCCAAATCTTATGTAATAATATGTCCCTGAAGTGCTTAGGAACTTTTTAAAAACAAAATTAAAGGCATTATATAAATGCAGGTAACAAGGTGTAGAGCTGGATGAACACAGCAGGCCAAGCAGCATCAGAGGAGCAGGAAGGCTGACGTTTCGGGCCTAGACCCTTCTTCCGAAATGGGGGAGGGGAAGGGGGTTCTGAAATAAATAGGGAGAGAGGGGGAGGCGGAAAGAAGATGGATAGAGGAGAAGATAGGTGGAGAGGAGACAGACAGGTCAAAGAGGCGGGGATGGAGCCAGTAAAGGTGAGTGTAGGTGGGGAGTTAGGGAGGAGATAGGTTAGTCCAGGGAGGACGGACAGGTCAAGGGGGCGGGATGAGGTTAGCAGGTAGGAGATGGGGGTGGGGCTTGAGGTGGGAGGAGGGGATAGGTGGGAGGAAGAACAGGTTAGGAAGGGGGGACGAGCTGGACTGGTTTTGGGATGCGGTAGGGGGAGGGGAAATTTTGAAGCTTGTGAAGTCTACATTGATACCATTGGGCTGCAGGGTTCCCAAGCGGAATATGAGATGCTGTTCCTGCAACCTTCGGGTGGCATCGTTGTGGCACTGCAGGAGGCCCAGGATGGACATGTCGTCTGAAGAATGGGAAGGGGAGTTGAAATGGTTCGCGACTGGGAGGTGCAGTTGTTTAGTGCGAACCGAGCGTAGGTGTTCTGCAAAGCGGTCCCCAAGCCTCCGCTTGGTTTCCCCGATGTAGAGGAGGCCACAACGGGAACAGCGGATACAGTATACCACATTAGCAGATGTACAGGTGAACATCTGCTTGATGTGGAAAGTCTTCTTGGGGCCTGGGATGGGGGTGAGGGGGGAGGTCTAGGAGCAGGTGTAGCACTTCCTGTGGTTGCAGGGAAAAGTGCCGGATGTGGTGGAGCTGGAGGGGAGTGTGGAGCAGACAAGGGAGTCCCGGAGAGAGTGGTCCCCCTGGAAAGGAGATAAGGGTGGGGAGGGAAAAATGTCTTTGGCGGTGGGGTCGGATTGCAGATGGCGGAAGTGTCGGAGGATGATGCGTTGGATCCGGAGGTTGGTCGGCTGGTACGTGAGATGAGACATCTCAGATGAAATAATTTGTGTTTATCTGCGTGTGTGTGCGTGTGTATGTGTGAGTGTGTGTGTGAGAGGGTCTGTCTCACAAATGCACAGACACGGACACACAAATGGATTATTTTATCTAAGATGTTTGTGTAGTTGCAGATACATTCTGTTTCGCTCAAAAAAACCTAACCCCAGTTTATGCATTGTCTGACCTGAGATATCACCTCTTGTATACATTGATAAAACCTTTAATTATCTTGGAGGAATGACTTGAGAGGAATCTGGATTTTGCATTTTAATCAGTAGTCTCCTTCCTTACTGATTAAAGATTCAACAAGAGGCAACCAGTTTCAGGGTTGGTACCTTTCTGCCTATAAATTCTGTGTCGTATACCTTCTCTCTCACACTACGTCTGAGGAAGGGGCTGAGCTCTGGAGGCTTGCATTTTCAAATAAACCTGTTGGACTATAGCCTGGTGTCATGTGATTTTTGACCGTGTGCATCCCAGTCCAACACCGGCATCTCCACAACAGTTCTAAAGGGTCATCCCTTCACTTTGAAGCTGTGCCCTTGGATCCTAATCTCTCTAACAGTCAAAACATCTTCACCATTTCCGCTCAATCCAGGCTTCTCAGTATTCTTTAAGTTTCAATGAGATTCCCCAAACATCTTTCTAAACTCCATTGAGCACAGACCCAGAGTCTTCAATCATTCCTCATATGACAAGTCCTTCATCCCGAGGATTATTCTTGTAAACGTCCTCTGGACTCCCTCCAAGACCAGCACATCCTTCTTTCGATACGGGGCTCAAAACTGCTCACAATATTCCAAACATAATCTAACCAGCCCTTTATACAGCCTCAGCTGTATGTCTCTGCTCTTGTATTCCAGCCCTCTT